AGAGGTTCAACATCTGGATCCTCTGAAGGAACGAGAACCAGAGGTTCAACATCTGGATCCTCTGGTGGAACCAGATGTTGAACCTCTAGAATTAGATTCTTACAGTAACCAGAACTTGAGCAACGTTGAATGTTCTGTTTTTCTTCTCAGGTCAAAACAGGAACAGTTGATGTTTCATCACCAAGGTAGGATGTGTTGCCATGGTGATAGAATGGCGGCTGTGATCTCCGTTGATTGTTTATTCAAACCTACAGACAGAGCAATGTTGGACCTGACCCATGAGGTCAAAGGTCATCCTAAACTCCAGAGCTATGGCTGATGGGAGCCATCAGGTACTCACTGTAGCCCATCCCCTGGACGAAGTACTTGAAGGCCTCCGCCAACTTTCCAGGCTGAGGAGAAAAACAAAACATGGTTTTTGTAGCCAAACAGAACCAGAACCAGAACCTGAGCTGTTGCGGTTCCTTTTGAGACCCACCTGGACCACCTGTGGAAGTCCGCCGCAGTCCGCCATCTAGAGGGGAAACACAGAACAGCATCGTCAAGCTAAATGTGTGGCGACTCGGTTCTTCTGCTGTTTACACTGGTTCTGATCCGGTCTCAATGGGTCAGAACCAAAGCTGCTATGCTTCAGTATATCTGAGGAACATCTGAGGAACATCTGAGGAACATCTGATGGGTTTCAGGAAGCCGCTGCCGTTTCAGAGACACAGATAGCTGAGATGTTTGAGGACGTCCAGGAGGACGGAAGACCAGCTGTTCTGTTTAGGACATGACGTCTAAAACCATCTAAAGCACCAGGATGATGATGATGATGATGATGATGATGATGATGATGGGGGGGCAGACGGTACCTTCAGCAGTGTGGTCCTGGTGGGATTCAGCCTGGAGTTACACTCCACCTGCAGACAAACAGACCAACACCTCTAAATGTTGGTCCAGTGATCTGAGGTTCTCCTTCTGGTTGGTTCCTGTTCTGGATAAAGTTCTCAAAGGAGACAAACACTCACCACAGCGTCCACCGCTGGAGACGTGTCCCCAACCACCAGCAGAGTGGGACACCTGAAGAGAGGACAGCCAATCAGAATGGATGTGGCCTCTGAGGCGTGTTCAGGGCGGGGTGGGCGGGGCTACCTGAGAGTGCTGGAGGTGTTCTGGTCCAGTCCGGGGACGGGCCGCTCCATCTGCAGCTCCGATCGGCTAGCAAACACACAGTGGGACAGACAGTTGGACAGGGACAGAGGGCCGGGGGGGGACGGGTGTCTCAGGCTGCGTCCCACCTTTCATAGCTGCTGTAGAACATGGCCAGGTTCTCCTGAGGAACGTCCTGCGACATGTGGAGTCTGTAGGTCTGGACGATCTCCTGGTTCTCGGCCAGCTGGTCCTGTTGGCACACAGAGATACCAGTTAGTCAGCAGTCCTGGTTCTGGTTCTGTAGAACCGTCAGCGTGGTTCTCACGGAGCTGAAGTGGTGTCCCATGATGACGTCCACCAGGCTGCTGGTCCAGCCGCTCAGCTGCATGAAACAGAAGAGGTCCGGTTCAGATGGACACCTGGACTTGTTCTGACCCGATGGTTCGGCGTTACCTTAGAGGCGGCCCAGTCCACCCAGCCTTTGGCACACGGGTCGATGTCTATCAGAACCAGGCCTTCCACCAGGCTGGGCTCGTTCAGCTGAAACAACAGCTGGGTTAACTGGGAGCTGTGGTTCTGAAACCACTGCGTGTTGGATGGGTGTTCCTTACAGCCAGCCTGGTGAGGATGTGGGCTCCGGCTCCGACTCCGATGCCGATCACGCTCTTCACCCTGAGGACACAAACCCAGACCCGGCGTGAACCCAAACAGCCGCTTCCTGTCCTGAAGGTCCAGAAGGACGGGGGACTTACTGCAGCTGGACGAGGACCGGCGGCAGCATCTCCGCCAGCTGCTCCAGACTGGGGTACTGGTACCTGACAACACAGGGAGGCTGCCGTCACCGCAGGGACCAAAACCACCAACAGAACCAACCGAACCACTGTCTCCAGCTGGAGGTTCTGGTTCCGACCAGCTGAGGTCAGAACCTGCTTCCTGTTACACCTAGCTAACCTCTGACCTTTGTTTAGAAGAACTTAGAAAGTTTAATGGATTCATTAGAAGACGGAGGTCAGACGGATCCCGTCACCATGACGCCCCGGTTTGTTACCCTGGGGGGAAGGTGGGGGCGTTCTCCTGCTGCCCGGGGGCGTCCACGTGGAGGACAGAGAAGTTCTGCGTCACCTCCTGCATGTCCTCGTAGTTAAACAGGCTGTTGAAGCAGGACTTATCTGCACACAGACAAACGTCACAGAAACGTCACAGAAGGGCCTCCTCTGGACCCGGCCGTGTCCCCGTACTCACGGTTCAACCGTGTCTCTGGACCCGGCCGGGTT